ATCGGTTGTACCTGGAGGCACTTTTCCTTTGAATGTCAAGACTTTGGTCATCTTCAAAGTGACCGAGCAGCAGGTGCATAAATCCTCAATGAAGTCACCCGTTTTTAGATGACTTGCCCATCGGTGTGGAATAGCAATCAGCACTCTCCAGGGGGCGCATTCTTAAAAACTCACTAAACGTCTTCTTTTCTGACTTATCAGCTTCTTCTTGATGGATTGGCATACAGTTAAGAGCAGATATAAATGTTTCCTCAAGGATAAATTCAGATTTTTTGGGGGGGGGAAGACATTTGGTGCAGATTGTTGAACGGTCTTCTTTAAAGCATCAACTCATCGAATTTCCAAGAATGTGAAGGATGATGTGAGAAAATGATCAAACGAAATGCAAGGCTGGAGGTGGATCAAAACTTCTGTGTTGACAAGGCAATACATCTCATTTTTGATTCGCACTGTAAGGAAGGTAATGCTCGTGTGAATGTTGGTAATCTGGTATGTTCATTTAAAAATATATCATTTCAAATCAATATTTTGAAATGGCATCACGACACTCATCGATTTGAGATGGCATCCTGTGTTTGATTGAACTTTACTTTGTTTGACTTTGATTTAGCCCAAGGAAAAACAAAACGTTGATTGAGTTCTGTTTGTTGTTGTAGTGCAGGGGTGCCCAACCTCCGGGCCGCGGACCGCTACCGGTCTGTGGGTCATTTGGTGCCGGGCCGCACAGAAAGAATAAATAACTTACGTTACTTCCGTTTTATTCATTTCGGAATCTGAAAGATGTTTTATTTTGAAAAATTACCGGATTCTCTGTTATATCGGATTACAGTATGTCACTCTGTGCTTTGAAAAGTTTTTTCGGGAAGGGGAAAAGGCCCAGCCAGGAGACAGAAGAGGAGCCTACGACGTTCAAGAAAAAGAAGGCTACATTTAATAGACAGTATCAGGAGTCCGACTTCAAATGCGGCTTTATCTCAACGGGAGATTCACACTCACCAAGCCTACAGTGCATAATAAGCGGCGATGGCGAGTCGTATTTTTCATGCACTTTTTATTTGCGGCGTATCTTATTTTGAAGGCACGTTTAAACGTTACCATAGCGACCAGAGAAGGTTGCGGGCAGATCGGAGGTTCCTCGTGTCATGATTCGTGTTTATTATTATGTTTCGAAAATACCACACTTTTCATGCAAGTTCATATTAAATTGCCGGTCCCTGAAAATGTCTGACATGAAACCGGTCCGTGGGGCAAAAAAGGTTGGGGACCTCTGTTTTAGTGGGTCACATACGCTATTAAACTGCTCTATGCAGGAGTGAAATGGTGCATTTTCAGTGTATAAATGTTTACATTTGAGTTTTTTTGTATCGGGTATTAACAATAGTAAAAATCAACTGCACTCTATGATGAGCATTTTTTTAATATAATGTTTTAATGTCCTGTTTAATCCACGTGACATGATGAATCATTAGGAATGGGCAAGTATCGATACCAGGTGTCATTGTCGGGCCAATACCTGGCCTTATTTGAAGGTATGGGTATTCATGACGGCGGACGATACCAGTATCAACCGCCATTGGTCATATTACGATCGTGAACTAAAGGCATACATGTCTGAAAGATGCCCATTAAGATGCCACTTCTGTAAGTATATCTATAGATATAGATAATAGAAAATGGCCAATCCGATACAGTATTGGGATATCGAGGTCACTGGTTTTCGGTAAATTGTATCAAACGTACTAGTGGTATCAATACTTGTTATTTGTATCGGTGACTGCTCAAGAGTTATGTACTCATACGGATATCGGTCTGAAAAAAAGTTCCATTGGACATCCCTACTGATTGTGTATCCATCCATCCATCCATTTTCTGATCCGCTTTAGGGGTCGCGGGGGCATACTGGAGCCTATCTCAGATGTCTTCGGGCAGTCGGCGGGGGATACGCTGAACTGGTTGCCAGCCAATCTCAGGGCACACACAGACAAACGACTATTTGCACTCGCCTGGAATTGAACCTCCGTGCTGTGAGGCAGAATGGCTAAGCAGTCGACCACCGTGCCACCTTGATTGTATGACATGGTGCTTAATTCATGACATTTGGAGGTATAAGAATAGTGTTTTATGTGGATATGCAAATTATAATGAGTACTCATAATTTACACTAAATAATAAATGACTAAATGACAAAACTATAAATCAAAATACATAAATAAAAAAATAATAAATTACCAGTTTTAGTGGGGGAAAAAAAGAAATCCATCAAAATTAATTGAGCGATATCGCACAAGAGGGAGTAATTTTGTACTGTATGTTATTCTATCTTTGATTTAGTCATGGGCACAAGGCCACAGTTGCGCAAGTGCTATTTTTTATTTAACAGTAATAAATGACAGCGATTTATGATTTGGTTGTTTATTTAATAAGTTATTCTTCTCTGCCAAGAATAAGTTTGCCGTTAGCGCGGCATGCTAACTACCCAAAGTGTCAGTGCCAAGCTGAAAAAAAGAATGTAGCAAATGAACCGTGTTTTACTATTTCACTTTCACTGAGCTAGTCAGACAATTAGCCCAGGTCACGTAAGTCGAGCGAAGAAACACAGCAAACTCCGGTAAAGTAAAACGAAGCCAATTGTTCACCTGTTAGCCGTGTTCGCATCTGCTCCTGTTTGTACACTTAACGTGTGATTAATCACACGAGCACTCCTGGACGTATGCGGTGACTTCTCCGGGCTCTTCTCATTGCCTTGAAACCTGTTCATCTTCGCGGCGCCAAGGGTTTAACAACCCACAATAAATGTTAGATAACCGCTAACCGTTGATGTAGGCCAAATTAAAGGTTTACAAAACCTGTGAGGCTACGTCAAGTCAAAAATCTCAGTACTGTTGTCATGTATACATATATCATTACTCATGTCATGCCTCTTGTCCAATCAGATTGCTCGGCCGTGAATAACTGATCTTACTGCACACAAAGTGCAGACACACGTCACGAGGCCCGCAAGCGCTTACAGTGAAATCAGTTGCTTTTAGATGGCTTTGACAATTATAATGTGTGTGTGTGTGTGTGTGTGTGTGTGTGTGTGTGTGTGTGCGTGTGTGTGTGTGTGTGCGTGTGTGTGTGTGTGTGTGTGTGTGTGTGTGTGTGTGTGTGTGTGTGTGTGTGTGCGCGTCCACATGTAACATCACAAGACTTGCAGTGAAAGCAAAAGGTCATCAATCAGTGCGCGAGTATCTAACCTCCACTTTCGGGGTCATCTGTTTTCTATTAACGCGGGCCGCGGACCCAGTGTGGACTCTGTTAACGGCGTGTGAGTCACCGATTTTGGATGAAAACGCAGTGTTTGAAACGGGCTTTTTTTGGGATCCGGCTCACCCTGGCAACGGGGTAACCTTTCGACCGGCTCTCCGCATCCCAAAACAGGGCCGTGGCGCGATGTCACACTGTAAAATAATGGCACATGCTGGCATTATTTTTAGACGACCGCATGCGTGCGGTTTTGGGATGACTTTAATTACGAAAGAGAAGAGTCGCGAGGAAAAGTGAGCACTGACTCCTATTTAATTGTGCTAATTAAAGCGGGGCCCGCCGCCACAGTTGCACCGCATATGGCAAAGACTTCTTGAGCAGGGCATGCTTTACGACTGTGCTGCAAAAGTGCACGGATGCTCTTTTTTTTCCCCCCTTCCACGCTGTTTAATCACTATTCTCTGTTGGAAATGCTCACACATGACACCGAGCTCCCACAGTGACCCGACTAAAAATATCAGCGTGCGCGACAACAACGCCCACGTGTCATTAAAACCGAAATAAATACAGGTTCATTTCAGACAGTGCAATTCAAACCAGGGGTGCGATGAAGACCAATCGTAAAATCGGTTTTGATTTAAAAAAAAAATAAATAAAAAAACGTGAGTGTATTGAATACAACCGAATCATTCCCACTTTAAAATGTACCGTTCTTGAACGACGTATGCGCAGTTGAATATGCACTTGTATGTGTTGCCATCTTTCATTCATGATATTCTCCAAAGCATAATCCTGAAAAACCAAATGCGATCATCTTCAGAGCTCCCTACATGAGAGGCCTCTGCGCGCCACGTCACAAGTCAGAAAGCTGAACTTTTCTTTCACAAACAAAACAAATGGCAAATCTCAGACTTGAAATTGCGGACTTTCAAATATAAACCGGCATGATTTGTCAATTCAAAACGGAGTCTTTCGTTTTAGACAAGCAGGCCCCAAGTCCTAATGTCGACGAGTCAAATCTGACTCGCGTCAAGTCATGTGACTCGAGTCCCCTACCCTGTTAGTCAAGTCAAACTATCAACATATGTTATAACACATTGAATACGAATTTCAGACTCACGTGCTTCTCGTGACACCTGGTGTGCTCGTGGTCTTTTCCTCACTATCTGCGGCGGTGGATGGCGTTCTGATCCTGGTCCAATTCGCTGAGACAGGCTGCAGGGCAAACCTTTGTTTGTTTGACAGAGAAATCTCTGCTCCTCTTCATCTCCCCTTCCAGATAGCACTAAAACACACAGTGGTGATTTCCCCTGCTGATTTATCATTCAATTGACGAGTGAGCGGAATGTTTTTGTCCTCGTGGGGATGCCATCTGCGCGGGGAAAGTTCTGCAGATTGAGGCTTCAATGCAGTAATGTATGCATAACAAATGGTCATTTCAGGAGATGCTGCACTGGTTCTTCTTTGTAAGCATACAACATAATTGTGTGTAAATGTGTGTGCGTGTGCGTGTCCACTGTCCCCACATTGTCTCTTGTCAACTTCATCTGCAACATTTTCACCAGCACTATTTGACAGCAATCTGTGCCCACCCATGTCGCTCTGCTTTCTCTTTTCAAAAGAATTTCAAAATGTGTGTGTGTGTGTGTGTGTGTGTGTGTGTGTGTGTGTGTGTGTGTGTGTTTATTTGGCTGAGAATGGACATCCAGGTCCCCACTACTCAAAAGAACATGAACATGTGTGGAAATTGAGAGCTTGTGTGTCTGTCTGTGCATGAGAAGAGTGTTGTTGTGAAACACAATAGCCATTTGTCAATTTGCGTTTGTGTCCATTCTTACGTCTTTGTGATCCTGTGAAACGATATCAGTCGTGGCCCAAGTACTGCTCCACCTGAAAGCACAAATAAACCAAGAATGCATGGAATATCCATCGATCCATCCATTATCTGATGCGTTTATCCTCACAAGGGTCGCGGGCATGCCGAGGCCTATCCCAGCTGTCTTCGGGCAGTAGGCGGGGGACACCCTGGACTGGTTGCCAGGCAATCGCAGGGTACAGATTTGCGCTCACACTCACACTGAGGGACAATTTCGAATGCTCCATTCACCTGCCATGCATGTTTTTGGAATGTGGGAGGAAACTGGAGTACCCGGAGAAAACCTACGAAGGCACGGGGAGAACATGCAAACTCCACACAGGAAGGTCAGAGCCGGATGGATGGGTGGCTGGATGGATGAAAAATAGCTTCGTTTGTGGCCCCTTAACACTTACGATAAAGTTATGAAACACAGGCAGAACATTTGAAAACAAAAAAATTGCAAAAGTCACCCCTTTTTTTTACATTCTTGTTTTTTTGGGGGGGGGTTGTTTTGTTTTTTTGGGGGCGAGGGACATTATAATTGTCTTATATTGTAGAGTGTTAAAAATTGAGGTGGGAGAGGGGGTGGTCGGACGATTTTTGGCGATTTTATAAGCGCATATAATTAATCGGCTGGGCCCTACTGTATATATTGCATTTGCATGGCTGCCATAGCCAGCTGGTTCTTATTTAAGCTTAAAACGTTTTGTGTGTGTGTGTGTGTGTGTGTGTGTGTGTGTGTGTGTGTGTGTGTGTGTGTGTGTGTGTGTGTGTGTGTGCGCATAAAAGCTCAGGCACATGTTCGATTGGATGTGAAATTTGCGACATTGTAACGCAAAAATTTGAATCTCAAAACCAGAAACCGATCTTTGGCCAATCACGACTGCAGTTCAGTTTCGGCTGCATCGCCATGTGTGCGGCACACTTAATTGTTCCGGTGTGTGTGCATGTCTTTAATGCTGAAGGTTTATGCTGTGATCACTCGGTGAAAAACAAGGTCCCCAACATGTTTGTGTCTCCATTAGCGTGCGGTTGCGTTCCAACCAGAAGGCTGCGACGACTCTCAAAATATCCTCATGAAGAGTGCTTAAGCCTTTTGAATTCAAGGCAGAGAAGGATCTCTCACAGGAACGTCCACAAAAGCAAGTAGAGCGCTGTGATGAGGAAACACATGATGATCAGATAATCAGTAGAGAGTGACCTGTGTCGCAGAGGAACATTTAATCCCCCTACTGCCGCACCACCACATTGAAAGCATTCAGAATTGGCTGCCGTCACTCTGGCGGTTTGTCACTTCAAACAAGTCTCAATTGTGTTGTATCGATGACTCATAAATCAGCCACGCGATCATCTCAAACAATGCGCAAGAATCCTAAGCATTCAAAAAAAAAATTATCTGCTAACCTCACGTGATGACATCACGACGGATGTTTTTTGTCGTTGTTGTTTTGGGTTTTTTTTTTTTTGTATTTTACATGACGTCGTTTGCTGTGTCACAAAAGGTCATCACTCCATTTTATGTCGATTCTTGAGGTCACTGTGGCTTGCGGTAGAGAGAGCGCAGCAGTATTCTTCTTGTGAATGGATAGCGAAATATTAGAAAAACGCCTCCCCAAGTAATAACTAAAGACAAAAATACAGCCACAAATGACGTCTGCGGAGACGCTGGCAAACAAGTTCAGTCATGACCCTGAAAGTGGGTTAAAATTCTGTTGCGTTCAGCTGCTTGGCCACGCAGTACGATGGAGCTGTAGGGTTTGGAGGCCGGACATATTTTTGCTGTGAGTTAGACTGTATACAGGCTGTATACAGCCATTGAGGTTATTTGTGTTGTGATGGATATCTGTTGAAAATGCAGCCAGAAAGACAAAGCAAAAACAACGTATTGGAATTTGAAGGCCATCTGATCAAGATGCTCAAGCTAGGCTGACCTAAAAAGCTCACATCAGGTTGAACAAAAACTTTTTCCGACTTTCAGGATCAATATCCAAAGCAACATGCGTGATATCGCTGTGGTAAAGTGGATGTTTTACGCAGCAAAATATATATATATATTTTTTGTATGCGTGCTTTTTAATTCAAGAAAATTAGAGCTAGATGTTACACTTGATAAAAACATGATTATTACAGACATAAATGGAATGTAAAAGGAAAATTAGAGCTAGATGTTACACTTGATAAAAAACATGATTATTACAGACATAAATGGAATGTAAAGAATTGTTTAGTTCAATTCACTCAACATTGTGCTGCTTCGTCTGGCGCACAACATAGCCACCCGGGGGCAGTATAATAAAGACATAGATGAAAGAGCCGGTGAGACTTACGAAGGACGCCACAGCAATATGAGTTGTTCTTCGCAGAGGATAAAGAATACATGGCTGTGAGTATTGTTACATTATCTGTGTGCACATGTTGCAACATTTGTGTTCCAATATTAGTTGTTTAAAGGGTTACAACATTGCAACACCGATGTTCCTCATTAGCCCATCTAAGCCCTTTTGCATGTTTGATGGTTAGCATTGGGATAAGCAAACTTTCAGTGAAGCTATATTAAACATGCCATTCTGATTGTTTTATGTGTAGTTTGACACCTCCTTTTTCAATGAATTGTTCACTATCTGTCAAATTGCTGCTTGGTGTAAAGTGAATGCCACAATGGCTCCGATCTTGAAAACAAACAAAGACAAAAAGTAAATCATGTTTTTATCTCAGCGCGTCACTGCACTTGGACAAGTTTAACATGTTGTTTTCCAGAAAGAGCGCCTGTGATTTCTAGGGTTATTTGAAGCAAAATATTTGGTCAAAACACGTTCGTTCGGAAGAGGCTCCCCATCAGAGTTCAATTGACTGACTTTCCAAGACGACCGATCGGTGTCACTGTAAGAACATTTTCAAGGACATTTGATTCAAGATAATTGATGTAGTCGGGGTCCGAGATCAAAACAGTGCATTTATGTTCCTTGGCAGATTCCTCTACTGATGACAATTTTGCCCCAATCTTGGCAGGGATGTGTTTTACCACAAGCGCCATGGAGGACTTTCAGTGGGGGTGGAGATCAGGAGATCAGCGAGATCCTCTGATGTGGTGTTTCGGCGCAGCCTCTGGAGATCCAGCAGGGAAGTACCCACCATCAGAATACCGGAAGGGGTGACGAGCAGCTCCAGAGATGCGGAGGGGCTGTCAGCGCAGAGGCCCTGTTTGAAGTGGAAAGAAATCCGTTTTATAGCTTTTTCTTATGCATGCCCCTCTCTCCACGGAGAAGGATTGTCTCTGTTTTCAGGCACATAAACTTTGAGATTTTGATGATTTATAGACAAATGAAGGCAGAGAGGGAGCCGAGGGAGGGAGGGTGGTGGCAGGGGGACGTGGAGAGAGTGTGTGTGGAGGGGTGGTGGGGGGGGGGGGGTTTTGGGGGGGGGGGGGGGGGGGGGGGGGGTCGCTTAAACATGATGCAAACCATTTGGAGAAAGGCGAGCAGAGGTTGCCAGCACAGCCTGCTCTGTTTAAACTGGAGAGGAAGTGACCGTATATACAGCATGCCAGCAAACTCCCTCTCTGCGTCTTCACACACACACACACACACACACACACACACACACACACACACACACACACACACAAACACACACACACACACACACACACCCACA